TTTAAGATACAGTTCACTTACAAAAATTAGATCATCAATCCACCACCTCTTCAAGTTTCTTCTGTTAAACAAAAAATAAGATATTTTGAAGAACAGGCAGTCATTTGCTAGTATTAGGCATGGGCCGATATAGGTTTCTGGTGGTGTGATAACCTTGCATAAAAATATCATGGTATCACTGTAAAATAATTTATTTTAAAATGTTTAATAAACAAAAATAATAAATAAATAAAAATTATTTTAGGAAAGATTTTAAATATTTTGGAACAGTAAACATGTCAGGCTAAATAATTCAAATAAATCATTGACTTCTGCTGTTTTCATTAGTTTCAAAACCACAGATTTCTTTACAACACATAAAAAAATACATAAATAAAAACTTACATATATAATAGGAACGGTATAGCAGAAAATTTTAGCGGTTTTAAAACCTTCACTTTTCCAAAACCACAGTAAACCTTGAAATCGGTTATCACCCCATGCCTAGCTTGTACCATAGTATTTTCCCCCTAATTTGAATGTCAATGCATTCCAGTTTCCAACATTCTTCAAAATATCTTCTTTTGAGTTTATGAGAAAAAAAAGAAACTCACTTCAGGGTGAGTAAACTTTAATTTTTGGGTAACTCTCCTTATAAATTAAATCATAAAAATGTATTCTGTATTAAAGGCATAGTTCACACACACGTATGAAAACGCTGTCATCACTGACTTGTTTCAATCCTGTTGGAGTTTTCATCTTCTGTTAAACACAAAAGTCTTGGAAACCTGTAACCACTGACTTACATAGTATTTGTTTTTCCTAATATGGCAGTCAATGTTTACAGGTTTTCAGCGTTCTTCAAAATATCTTCTTCAGTGTTTAACAGAAGAAAAACAAATGAAGGTTTGGAATAACTTGAGACGCAGTACATTTTTATTTTCGGGTGAACTATCCCTTTAATTTGCTCTTTGTCACATAATAATAATAGTTTCTTACATTTATGTAGCATTTTTAAGACGCTCAAAAGTGCTTAACACATTGGGAGGAATCTCCTCATCTACCATATTGCTCCAGACCGCACACCAATAAACCAGCTGATTGGTGGAGATAACTCACCTTTCCCAAGCTCAGACCCAAGTTCTGTAGAAAAACACCCAAGGGTTTTGCTCTCCTCCAAACTGGTGTCTCCACTGAGCAGGATGAACTTGTTTCGCCCCTGAGGCCCACACTCCTTCCCCTTAGCCGTCAAGACACTGATGACACTCTGCAGATCGGCTGATTTCGGGATCACCACCACCTGTGTGTCCGGCATAGTAGGGTGGTCCATAACACGGATGCCATCAGGGAAGCTGCGAGCAGTGGACTGGGTCGAGGTGGTCTTACAGCGGGTCCCATCAGCTTCATCACACCCCAGATCAGATTCACTCTTCAGAAATGGCAGCTTCCTCCTCTTTAGGATGATGGGTCTCCTTGGGCTCTCCCTCATTGTTTGCTCACAGCAAATGGGCCTGTTTAAACACCTGTTTGATATAACATAAAACAGATCATATGTAATGTTTACAAAATTTGTTAGAAAACAATTGGTGAAGTTTGTTCCTCGCCACTGGCTTGCTGGGTTTTGGGACTTGTGAAGCTACGCATTGATGGATTTGCTCTCCAAGTGTTTGGAGCAGAGAAGCAGAGAAATTTAAACCACACTAAGCATGGGCTTTGCCAGAGATGGGTTGCAGCTTGAAGGGCATCCGCTGCTTAAAAACGGGCTGGATAGGTTGGCGGTTCATTTCGCTGTGGCTACCCTGGATTAATAAAGGGACTAAGCCGAAAAGAAAATGAATGAATGAACTAGGCATGGGCCGATATAAGATTCTGACGATATGATAACCTTGGATAAAAATATCTTTATTTTTAAATATCTGGGTAAAAACAGGGTTTCTGCAGGTTTCATCACGTCAAATTTAAGACTTTTTATAACCATTTTCAATAAAATTTCAGACTATCACATGGCAAAACTCTAATAATTTTCTGTAATACCCGGTGTATTTTTTGATTTGCCCAATTAAAATGAAAATTCAGTTATTTTTTAGCCATATATTTTAAATAATGTGTCAAAACAAGCAAACTCTAGTTATACATTTTTATTAGCATAACCCTTCTTTAAAAAAAAAGACCAGTTTTAAAAGATATAATAAACTAAATTTATGCACAACATAAAATTAAATTTTTTAAAAATGTAATTTGATTTCCTATTAAATATAGATAATAAAATATTTTTAAAATTCTGATGTCTAAATCAAGGTTAATATTTATTTTAAGGGTAACTACACCTTAAACTTCTAGATTATTTTAAAATGCTATATAAAAAAAAACTGTATTTTTTGGTGTCATTTATTTAATCGACACTCACAATGGGATACTAATCTAAAAGACTTCTGAAAACCAGACCAAAACAAAATATTTTTCACAAATACAATGTAGCATAAACAATATTAAATTAAAGACTATCAGAATGTCTCGAAGTTTTAAAAGCTATAATAAACATTTATGCTCATATATTTATGCATAAAAACATGAAGAACTTTTAAACAAAGTATATTGTAAGGATGACAATTAAACCATACTGCTAAATAATTAATAAAAGTTAATTTTGTTAAACGTTTTTTTTTTTTTTAAGGATTTGTTGGTTGTACTGATTGGCTATCACTTTAAATGGACAATTAGTGAAAATTATGACTTGTTTAAAAGTATTTAAGACCCACAACAGCATATTTGAGTAAATTTTTTAGGGCCTTAAATTTAGTTTTTGAAATTTAAGATATTTTAAGACCCAGCGGACACCCTGAAAAAACTAAAACTTTTTTTCCCCTTTTGAACACAATATATTTTATTTTGAGAAACATTTAACATATTTTGAAGCAGTAAACATGTCAGGCTGCTCTCTTCGTTAGTTTCAAAAACACAGATTTCTTTACAATTTAAAGCAGCATCTTTGGATTTTTTTTTCTGCCGGTGATACTGTTGTCCTAAAAAGCTGAAAAAAAAAATCTTACACATACCCTAGGAACAGTATAGCCGACAATGTTGGCGTTTTTTAAAACCTTGACTTTTCCAAACTGCGGTATACCTTGAAAAGGGTTATCGTCTCATGTCTAAACCACTGAACTGAACTTCAACTCTGAAAACTGGACTGACAGTTTCAATTTACTAGAACTTTTCTGTTGAGTTGCTTTGACACAATCTACATTGTAAAAGCACTATAGAAATAAAGATGAACTCAATAGTTCTTTTCTAAATACAGTATATTCAGGAACTGTTTATCTGCATGCTAACTATACATATTTACAGTCCACATTAACTTTATCTGATTGAAACATTAATAACCTATTCCTTTTGTAAAGTTGTTTTGGAATAATAAAGCATATATACATAGAAAAAGCGTATAAAAATACATTAAAAAAAAAAATATATATATATATATATATTTATGAAAAAACTTATAATGTTAAATAAACATGAATTGAGCTGTTGTTACTTACACTGGAAGCTTTGCAGAAGTGTAACAATGATAAACCACCCAAATAATAGCGTGACAATATTAAATCAAGTGCTCGTATAGAAAATACACATTAATTATTGACAAATATCAAATATTATCGCAAATAGCGGAGAATATACCGATTAAAAGATCTGTTTAACCGACGCTTCTGGCTAACGACTCCAAAATGACGTTTGTAGTTCTGAAAGATGAAATACCGTTATAAATTGATTACATTCAATTTGACGTCTTGTTATTATGAGGGTGATGACGATGACAGATCATTCAGAAACAAAAGGACACAACATTGCTGCAATTCAGGTCTGTAAAATAATATTTTGTTATTGCATAGACCTTCAATCGCGTTGTACGTCATAATATAACACTTAAATACATGTTATTGTCCTAATCATACATTTTATTATTAAAGTTAACGCGATCGTGCTTTATTATCTGACATGCGGCCTAGTTATTTGCATACCCACCCTGCTAACTTGCTATACACGTAAATTCCTGTTGTAATGCATTAAAATAAACCCATATCAAACAATACAAAGCGGATCAAACCTTCATATCATGTCAGCCGTGCAGACGGTGCTTTATTTGAGTTAATCAGGCAGTGTTGATTGCTAGAATGTATTTTGATGAAGGTAAATAAAAGACTCGGGTCGCAGGATTCTTGTGAGCATTTGGTGAGATTTTGAATTTTGGCGCAGAGCGGTGCTGCGCTCTCACGTGATCACGTGGTGGCCAATGGCGAACACATATGGGCGGAGCCACCACAAGTAGTGCATTTCTGCAAGTAATGCACACTGCAGTAAATAATTTCCCTTTAGGGGGCGATCGGTGGCTCCTCTGACATACACATTATAATTTTTACAACTGAAACATTCAACATTAAGCAATACAAAGCTGCATCTAAATCTAAATAATAAACTTTCAGTTTAGCATTTTCTTATTCCCCCAACATTTGTATAAGTTACACAATTATTTACCTGGCCACACCATTAATTATTTATATTTGTATGCAGGAATTTATGGATTCATTTACTCTTGTATTTATATATTTGCATATTTATTTATTATTTTATTTATGCAGTATTTTCTGCAAACATTTACTTATTTATTTATATATTTTATTTATAATTTAATTAACATATATTTGCAGGTTTATTTATTTATAATTTTGTTTATGCCGGAATTTATGGATTTATTTGCTCTTTTATTTATATATTTGCGTATTTATTAATTTTATTTATGCAGGAATTGATGAATTTATTTACTCATTTATTTATATATTTGCGTATTTATTTATTTATTTTTTTTGTTTTAGCAGATTTCGTCCTGCATACGTTAGTAACACGTATTAAAATAATATTATTGGTGGAAACACAACGAATAATATATCTATATTTACGTTTTAATTGTCATTTGGACCAATCCTATCTGACCAATCACATTAAAGCCGTGGTCGCAAAGCCCCGCCTCTTGTTTCATTACATGCTTATGCTAGCCAACATTCAATCACTTTTTCATTTCTAAAAAGGGGGATGAAAGTGCATGAATGAGGGATAAAATTCCAACAAACCTCGCCCAAACAGTCTTTCTCTGTTCACATTTTCATGGTCCAAAGGAAAAAAAAACAATGCAATTGAGAAGAAATACAAAGCGATGCGTGAGTATTAGCTGAAGTTTGCATTGTATGCCATGCATTTCCTTACGAGCGAACTTTCTGTGTTGTTAACATCTATGCTAACGTTACATCTTGTCAATTGATAACACATTTAAAGGGTAATCATGTTTGATAAGATGTTTATGAATGAGTGTTGACGTATTAATGATTGAATGGGAATTAAGATAGTCAATCAGTATCGATTTTTATTTACTGTTTTTGCTTGTATGACACATCTCATTGCAATCTCAGACAATAGTAATGATTCTCTGGCTCATGCTATCGTGTTTTTCTTCAATGCAGATTATTATGACTGCTAATGCCCCGCACTTCACACAAGAAGAGACTGCTGAACCCACTCAAATCTCAGCTGTTGTTCAAAGAGGCTCCCATCAATGGACCAAAGCATGAATATGGAGCACAACTTCGGAGTGCCATCCATCCCAGGTCATTCATATCAGAGAAACAACAGCGGGGTGATGCACCATGGGTATGTCCACATGTTGACTTTTTGTCTTTTTCAATAAACAGGCAGTTTACTTTCCTTTTACATGCTTTCTGCATATATATTTTTAATGATATATTATTTTATATATTTAGTTTCATGCAAATTAAAGGTATTGAGGAAAATTTGTTTTTTATATTGACACATTTAGACTTTTTCCGTGATAATGTAATTTCAGAAAAGTATTGTTTGCAAATTCTAAATGGTAAGAAAGCCAAAGACTATCAAAGTACAACATTGTTCACAGTCAAATAAAGTGCTGATCTTGTTTTCAAGTCACTGACTTGCGATTTCAGATCAGTGTCGTGGTAAACAATACAGGGAGTATGTCACAAGTTGTCACTGAACCAATGGGGTATATGCCAAAGCATGCTAATAGGACTTTTAATTTGCCAGTAACCTGGGTTGAGCGCTTCCGGCGAATTGAGTGACAATGCAAAATCCGGTGCGTTTAAGGTCTGTTTTCTTTAAAAATCAGCGATCTCCACTAGCTGAGTGATATCCGATTTAAAGTGGGTCTCAGATTGTACAAGAAGCACTGCATTAAATTACATTTCCCCCGCCATATCTTTGTAATATGAGCATTTATTTTACCCCAGTATATTCAATGGAACTTCTGCGTTGGCCTGCCGATTCTGACGGTTGCGTGCGAGTAAACAGCTTTTTGTCTCGTTTTACGCTTGAGCAACTAAATAAATGCTAAAGTTTATTTAACTGAATGTATTTTAATGACATTACAACATTGATGCTGTGTAAGCAACCGTATAAAATGGTAAAAAGTTCACAATAACAGGTCACCGGAAGTGTATCAGCATGGGAACTGCACTAGCTTGGCATATACCCTATTAGTGAATATAAAAGCAACTTTACCTCAATATTAAAGGTCACTTTTTGACCCTAATTCACTGTTTACAGGTTTCTCCGCAGTTTAATTCACATGCAACCACAAGAGTTAGTCGGGGTGGTCGAGGGAAGAGGAATCACCAGGTGGCTACAAGAATCACCAACAAAGCATCGGCTTTGTGTTTACCACAGACTAGAAAAGCAAGTGTTAGCAGATTTACTCCCTTGTCATTTCAGGCAACCACAATACAAGGGCTTGAAAACCTTCGTCATCCACAAACAAAGAAAAATACGTTTGTTTCTTCAGACAAACATCAAAAGGAGCTTCAAGAAACTCCAAGAAGATCAAAATGTGCTCGGAAATGCACTGAAAAGAGGATGCTCACACGTGTTAAATCTGCCACCTCCAAGTATACAGAAGTTTCAAAGAGCCTAACATTTCACAATAATGGAAAGGGGTTGACTAATGCTTTAATTCAAACACCAAACACAAGCCTGGTTCCTGATCCGCCACATGTGGAGACTCCAGAAGTGCCAAATTGTTCCAGCATATCGCCATCCAATGTTCAACAACTTATTTTCCCTCCAAGCCAGGCAAAAACCCCTCCACGAGCTGAAAACACAAGCGTCTTGGTGGAGGACACACCTGAGAAGGACTATGGGCTGAGGGTAACGTGGAGACGGAGGAAAGGACTGATGAAACTACTGATTGATAAAGGACAGCTTCTTTTAAAAGATGCTGAAGTGGCCAATGAGTGGATTTGAATTAAGAAATGTTGTACACAAAAAAAAAAAATCATGTCTTTTCTGTTGTCTTTTTATCACTGAGGTGGTAATATTTGGGAAATTACCTAATATATAAATGTAAATCACTTCAGAAGTGAATATTAAAGGGATAGTTCACCCAGAATTAAAATGTACACAGCCTTAAGTGGTTTAAAACCTTTATTAATTGTTTTTTTTTTGTTGAACACAAGATGTTTTGAATAATATTGGGAACCGGTGGCCATTGACACATGGCAAGAAAAGTCAATGGAGAGCAATTTCCAATCTTTTGTTTGTGTGTTTAACAGAGGAAATGTACTTGGAACAAGTGAAGGATGAGTAAATGATGACAGAAATTCCTTTTTTTGTGTGAATTATCCCTTTAAAGATGCCATTTTAACTTCACCAGCCTTTATGATATCGAAGCACCTTTGTATTATTGTGGGCATCAGTGAATTATGTACTTAAATACAAAATTTGCTTAAATATTTGTTGAAGTTTGCTTTTATTCATTGGGTTTTTGTAGACATTCCTACATATCTTCAATATTTGTATATTATCATTTTTTGTATTAAGTAAAACATAAAACGTTCATTATTAAATTACATAATAAAACTTATCAAATAAGTAACCAAGACAGAATATCACATAAAACATTTTTTTTAGTTTTGGTCACTACAATTTTTTAAAGTTTTATTTTATTTATTACTACATTTTTATTTTTACTAGTAGAAGTAACTTTTACCGTGTCAGGTATGGACTTTTAACTTGACATGTATTTTTCTGGTAATCCAATGCGGAAGTGCCGCTGTGAAAGCTGTTGTGTTTACAGAACGGACTTAATCCACGTGTAATGTTTAAACGAATTAAGGACATGATTATTGACACCAAATTTTGGTAATAGCTCTGTAATGCGCTACTAGAGACCGTCATGAGGAGCAGTTCGTCCGTCTCTCCGGCAGGCGGTCGCGGCTCGGGCTCGGTTCGGCTGGTCAGCCCTCCGGGGTGTCCGCTAACCGCTCTGGTAGACGCTGCTGTTGAGTATTTAATGGTAAAAAAAGACTTCCATGCTGCTCTTGCCACCTGCGAGAAAGGGCTTGAGAGTTTGGACTCTTTTGCAGAGCAGGAGGAGAGTTGGTGAGTTAACAAAATATTAGTTGGTGGTAACTTACTCTGTTCATCTTATTGACAATAAATGATCATTTTGCTTGGGATCATTATATCTTATTAGTACATTATGAATTTAAAATGATCTAGTTTGTTTTATATACTTTTACTTCTTTAATTTGAGTTTATGTATATACTTTGTTCTGTTTCTTTAATGTTTAGGCTTTAATGTTTACAAATTACATGACAAATCTTTTAAGTGCTTACCAATACCATCATTTTGCTTCAAGTTATTATATCTTATTAATATATTATGAGGTGGTTAATTCCGCTGTGACAATCCAGATTAATAAAGGGACTAAGCCGAAAAGAAAATGAATGAATAATATAATTTTCTTTTCGGTTTAGTCCCTTTATTAATCTGGGGTCACCACAGCGGAACGAATCGACAACTTATCCAACATATGTTTTACTCAGCAGATACCCTTCCAGCTGCGACCCATCTCTGGGAAGAATATATTATTACTAATAAATAATCTATCAACTTCATATATTTATAGTTTTTCAGTATGGCAGGCTTTCTCAAAGCTCATGAAGTGGTAAAATGTAAAGGAAATATTTAAATGTTTCTTTGGATATTTACTTCAATACATTGATAAATATATTTTTAAATATATGTGTTAGTAATGTTATGTGTTTTAAATTTAATGGATTACCCATAAGTATTGATTAATTCCCCTCCTGATTATTCTGAAGGTTTTAATGTTTACAAATTACATGACAAAATTGATGTTGGACTATCTATCAAGCGCTTACTGATAATAACTGATAATTTTGCCTGGGGTTATTGTGTACATTATTAGTAAAACAAAATCAAAAATTAAAAAAAATAATATCATAATAATATCAGTATTTTAGCATGGCAGGGTTTCTCAAAGCTCATTACGTGGTAGAAATGTAAGAAATATTGAAATATTTCACCTGATATACACTGAATTATTGATGTTAAATTTTTATTAATATTTTAGTTAAGTGTTTTAATGCATTATGCATAAATATTGTTTATTTCTTTTTTATTTTCCTATTACTTCATAAGTATTGATTATAAAGTGTAATATATATATATATATATATATATATATATATATATATATATATATAAAATCAACTCTCAATTCTGGCCTTTACTAGAACTTCAATGTTAAGCGACTTTGACACAATGTACATTGTAAAAGCTCTTTAGAAATAAACATGAATTGAATATTTAATGAAACTTATTAAATTCCACATTAGTTTAATAAAATGACATTAAAATATCATTAAATTAAAATTAAAAACGTTTTCTTAAATTTGGTTTGATTCTTCTTACAATTTAAACTGTAATTATTGAAAAAAAAAAATCCCAAAAATAATACTTATAGGAGCAAAACAGATATCTGTGTCACAACTTTAATCCAGTTTAATCGAACTTTTATTAACAACCTTTGTGCAGGGCTGTGTTTTAAAGCTATTTTTGAATCTTATAACTTAATTCAGCCATACTGAGACACTGTTTTATGATTGTGTATTTACTGTAAGAATTATAAATCTCATGCTCCATTTTTCCCCCCACAGCTTTAAACATGCCGAGCTGAGATCTGCATTCACTATAATAGGTGTTCAGGCTCTGGCCGAGCTCAATCAATGGCGTACAGTCTTGTCTTGGGTGTTACAGCAGTATGGAGAAACCGAGAACATCCCTGCCAAGATTATTCAAATGTGGTAAGAAGAAAAAAACAGTAAAAAATATTGGAAACACTTTAGTTTCAGTCACAAATTATGGTATTAACAAACCATTTACTAACACAACTAGCTTAATAAACTACTAATAACTAACTGTTTATTAATAGTAAGGTAAAAGTTAGAGATTTGGGTAGGATTAGGGATGCAGCAGGCTACTTTATCATACTTTATGACTACTAATGAACAGGTAATGTTTGCATAAACTGGAAGCTATGACTGTTTTTTCCTATTGTGATGCAGTTATAGAAATGGAATAATAAATGAGAAAACAGTGGGCGTGGCTTGTTTTTTTCTATTGCAAGCTGATTGGATGTAGTAAAGTAGGCATTTCATTCAGAAAGCTGGGGAAAAGGCATTTTAGAAGAGTTATTACTGCCTATCAGACTCCTCCTCCTCACCGTTTCTATTTGTTGTCAAAACTGACAGCTAGAGGGGTGTGGCTAATATACTTAACCACGCCCCTCCAATATTCCAGACAGGCATAATCTGAGAATTGAACTGAAAACAAACAGGAAGCGCATTTTCAGATTTTGATTTCACATTACAAGCACTGACACTTTTTTCTCTTAATGACAGATGATTTTTTCATCACAAAACTTGCAATATAAGTTGAAAATCAATATGGTTAGTTTTAATTTCATGTGTACTTTATTATCATATGGTTATAAGCTATTAGTTAATAGCCAGAGTTGTGACCTAAACTAAAGTGTTAGCGAAATAACAATATAAAGCAGTTTAACATCATTCCTAATGCTAAATATTTTCCACAGCATTCTGCTTTATGTGAAAGTGGGTGAACGGGCCGTGATGAAAGAGGCAGTCTGTGATTGGCTGCACTGCTCTGGTAACGCGAGCCAGTCAGGATTCAGCACTGTGGCTGAGCTGTATTTCCTCCACATACTGTTGCCGATGGGTCATGTGACTGAAGCTCTGGAGATGCTGGAGAGCGATGTGGGTCTGGTGGCGTTTACTGATGAACAGAGACAAGCAGCTCGAAGTTTAGTAGATGATCAAAATCAGAAAAATGCATCATCATCATCATCATCGTCGTCTAATACAAATTCAGACTCTGTAGATGTGATGGAAATGTCTAGTGTGTCAAAACAAGGTGACTCTCTTTTATACATACAGATGAAGTCATAATTATTTACTACCCTCCTGTGAATTATTCTTTCTTTTTCAAATACTTTCCAAATGATGATAAACAGAGTAAAGATTTTTTTACAGTATTTCCTATAATATAGTTTTTAGAAGAAAGAAGAAAGTCTTATTTGTTTTATTTTGGCTAGAATAACAGCTGTTTTTAGTTTTAAAAAAAACATTTTAAGGTCAATATTATTAGCCCCCTTAAACATTTGTTTTCAATTATCTACTGAACAAACCACTGTTATACAATGATTTCTCTGATTACAACAACTTGAAGGTTGAAGTTGGGAAAAATATACTGGGGGCTAATAATTATTGAGGTCATGCTGCTATTTTACAGGTTTTTAATGTTGTTTCAGATCTTCCACTATAGATTTACAGCCATAGAAGGTCATAAGTTTTCTTATAATATACAGTAAAGCATCAGGTCTTTTCTACAAGGGTTTGTATCTACTCATATTATGCTCTGATTGGTCAGATGACCCTGGCATACTGGGTTTGATACAAATTTGTAAATGGGGATTTTTTGTGTCAGGTCAATATCAGATCAAATCACTTAGACTAGGAAAAAATTGTATAGCAATTATAAAGTATATTATAAACTATGAATAATTTAGATTTTATTATTGTATATTTGGAAAAATTAGCAATAGTTTTCCAGAAATAAAAACATTTATTACTTAGATTTAAATCGTTGTTTCATATTTCGGGAAAATTTGTTTTCCTGTTTAGATTAAGATTAAAAGGCAGTGCTTAATCAGGTTGTCCGCAGGGTATTAAAAAGTTTTAGAATGTCTTAAATCTTAAAAGCCAAATTTCAGGCCTTAAAAAGTCTTAAATCTACTGAAATGGTGTGCTATAGTACTTAAATCTTTTTTTAACAGGTCTTAATTTTCTTTTGTTTATGTATAGCTCCCCAATCTGGCCATTAACAATCACCAACAATCCATTTTTTTTTTAAATAAATAGTTAATTACTTTCCTTACAGTAACATTTGCTTAAAAGTTCTCCATTTATTTACTGCTGAGAATACTGACCTGACCTTTTTTATCATTAAATTTGTAATATTGTAGACTGAAGTAATTGACATCTATGTTTTGTTTATAATCCCAAGTATAAAACCTAAAAAGTACACAACTTAAAATCAAGCAACACATAATGTGACGGTGCTGTTAAATAATTGTGAATAATTGCATGTAAAATTAAAACGTGCATCTTTTGTATCTTATATTATGTATTATTTATTGCTGTTGATGTTTTTTTATTGTTATAAACTTACGTATTACAGAAAAAATGTTATTTATAAACTGATAGTATATTGAATTTAATTTTGTCATGAAATAGCCATGAAAGCCGATATGGCAGTAAGCAGACTAAAGTATGGGATGATGTGTTTGTGTGATTGACAGGCAGATTGACCCTGCGGCTGAATTCAATCATCAAGTTATTATCCAGAGGTCTCTCATTAGCCAGTGTGAGAATCAGATCCATCTCTTTACGCAGAGTTTTCCTGGCTTTAATGTTGCTGTATCTGCTTATCGCTCGTTTAGACCCAGGTAAGACATCCTCTGGTCCTTTTTATATGCTGTGCATGCTCAATTATTACACTTATAATGATCGTCTACATAGACTGTAACCTATTACCCTGTAATATTCCTCCATCTTCAGCTCTTCCTTCAGCTCTTCCATGGCTGCTGCGACTGCATGGACTCCTCCAGCAGATGTTTAATACCATGTTCGGTCCCTATTACAAAGCCCACAACAGGAGTTAAGGGTTTTACTGGAGATAGAAGAGGAACATAATGGTGCCGTCCTACATTTCAATACTTCATAGATCCTAATTTTGTCATCATGTTTTGGTGCATTTACTTGTGTTATAAATCAATGATCTGATAACCTACTAACATTGTATGGTTACCTTGGTGGGAATTAATTCATGCAGATTAGATGTAAATTCTATAATAAAATGTGTATATATCATTGGGTTTAAATGTGTGTGGGTTCATGTGCATCTGCAACTCTACAGATGTTCATTCTACATCACACTGAAGTGTTATTGGTAAGACTCGGATAATAAAAGGAATACAAACAGTGAAAATGTTGAAGAAATGATGAAAAATTCAGCAAAATGGCTGTAGATGAAATTAAAATAAATAATAGTAATGTAATCTAATAAAATAACAAAACCAAAACAATAAAAATGTACATTACTTGAAATGAACATGAACTAAAATAAAAATGTTTAGTAGATTTTTTCAGCTGGATCACAAAGCAACAGTGCAGGAATTGATGTATTGAAATAAATAAAGCTAAATACATTTTCATTTAACAATAAATGTACAATAATACACATTTCATGTACAATAATAAACATTTAACACCACCCAAAAAAAGTTGCACTATTATTGGTAACATTTTTAAGCACAGGTGCTAAACTCAGTTCCTGGAGGGCCACAGCTCATATGGTTGCAGCTGGTAGTTAACGAAAATGATTTATAATATGTATTAAATATCCCAATAATTGTATTTTTTTAATTGCTACCACCACCCCAACCCTTAACCCAACCATCACAGTAACGTAAAAACAGTTGTACAGGGTATTATTCATGTTATCTATTAAATTACCCAATAAATTGCATTTTTTACGTCTACCCCTACCCTAAACCTAACTGTCACAATACTGTTAAAATATTAATCATTGTTATGTAATATCATAAATAATGCTGCTTTGCATTTCGCAGTTCCAATGTATTGTGCATCCAATGTAGACTTTGCAGCCCTGCACAGATTAGCTTTAACCCTAATTAAACACCTGATCAAACTAATTAAGTCTTTCAGGCTTTTAAACTCCCGGGTAAGTGTGTTGAAGTAGAATTGGAACTAAACTTTGCAGGGCTGTTTGACACCCCTGCTTTAGCATAATGCTCCATTAGTTAATATTATTTTATGTATTTACTAACATTAACCAATATGAGTAATCTTAAAGCATTTATTAATCATAGTTCAACATGAACTTATGCAATATTAAAATCAAAATGTGCTTGTTAACATTAGCTAATGCAATGTGAGTTAACATGAACTAACATTAACAAAGATGAAACAATACAGTAATGACTGTATTACTAATTGTTTTTGTTAGTAAATACATTAGCTAATGAACCAAGTGTTACTTTATTATTGATAATTTTATCACTCTTAAATAACTGATTTAAATGCATTAAAAATAAAACTCATATGTTGAAATATTAATTCAATCACTGGGGTTATTAATAATATAAGTTATTTAGTTTTAAAATGTTAAACAGGTGTCCTGACATTTTATCCTACCCATCAGATTATGCTATCAACACTGTATATAAATGTGTTATTACAGCTTCATATCACATTACTCTTCATTAAAGTTTACACTGGTAGCAAAATCTGATGGGTAACCTATTGCGTCATCAAAATGTGCTATCTACTTTTTGAATGGGAGGTAGAACAATAGGACTGGTGTCCTGACATTTTATCCTACCCATCAGATTATGCCACCAACACTGTATTTGAATGGTTCTGAGATTAGGGATTAAGGTAGGTTAGGGCGATATTAGCTTCATATCACACTACTTAATACACATTGAAAATTACATTGGTAGCAGAATCTGATGGGTAACATATTGCGTCATCAAAATGTGCTGCCTACTTTTTGAATGGGAGGTAGGACAATAACACCGGTCGCGTTAGTGACAGAAACTGACGCAGGAAACGAAAGTGAAAGTAAAATCAGCTGTTTCTGTTTACGTCTGCCTGAAACTCTGGGTAGCTACGAGTAAAACGAGAGTGCTAGTATCTTGATATGACTTAAACGAACAGGTTTTCAGAAGAAGAGAAAAAAAACAGAAGGTTTTGCTATCAATATATGTGTGTGAATGGGGGACTACTGGAGTAAAATGGCTTATCATCGACGGTACATCCGCTCTTCATCATGGAGCTCTAACAGGGGTTATGGTAAGTCCAGCACTCCTGTATACAGATTTTATTTTATTGATTTATTTTCATTTAAACACACAAAACAGGCTACTTAAAGCGGACACAGTAGCTAGATGAAATAAACATGACTAATTGACAGACCGGTTAACCAAAGTTAATAAAAACTAAAGATCATGTCTTTTGTTTGTGTGTGATTATACTTATGATTCACATAGACAATATAAATGACATTACAGATGAACCTAACAAATATCATGTTTTTCAGAAGTGAGAGGCCTTTTCAATGACGGTCTATCCTGTTGTGTTAATGCTTTGCTTCAGTCCTTTTCTGCCACAACTGAACTGCTGGACATACTGAACAAGTACTAAAGCATCATTATCAGTTGCATATTTAAACCAGCCATGCTAAATCATGCTAAATACTTTTAATAATGATTACTGTTAAAGATGGAATCCTTCAGATGGAATTGAACAGAGTAACATCCCATTGCAGTTGAGGAACACACTGCTCTCCGTGAGGGACCCTTCACATTCAGCTCCACATAAAGGCTTTCTGGACTGCCTCTATCGTCACGCCATTTGCAGTATGTATGCAGAATATCACAGTTAAATGTTATGCTCATTTAAAATGATTTTACTCTGAGTGCGTTTTATTGAGTGCGTTAGTGGTGTAAAGTAACAAATTATAAATACTCAAATAACTGTAGTTGAGTAGTTTTTCTCAGGAATTGTACTTTACTAAGTAGTTTTATAAATGTGTACTTTTACTTTCCCTTGAGTACATTTTTAATGCTGTATCAGTACTTTTACCCCACTATTTTCCTTCAGTCTGCAGTCATTATTTTTTTGTTTACGGTGATTGGCTTAGTACAGCGGTGCCCAAACTTTTTCTTACGAAGGGCCAAAAACCAAACTTGATCGAAGCTAGTGGGCCAAAGGTAAATATAGTTGCCATGGGTAATTTCATAATTTATTTAATAATGTTTAAAAATGGCTATAAAACATTGCTTTATATTAACTAATTCGGAATTTTATATTAACTAATACATTAATTTTTACATTTTATCATGAACTTATCACAGTAAAAACAAAATCTATTTATAACAGAATTATACTAGTTTTTGCCTCGATTTGCTCGCCGAGGTCTTCTGTCTTCTCTATCCATCGAGTTACAGTATTTACATTCTTACAAATCTAATTTACAGCATTTAATTGAAACAATAAAACAAACAAAAGAGGTGATGACCTCTGAATTCTGTGTTAAAGGCATTCGCCACAACCCTCCCCATCATTCTCACTCTTCTCTCAGATGGTATGGTGGGCAAATCAAAGGTTACAATGGACCACAAGCCCTACTTTGGGCATCTCTGGCTTAGTAGAAAAATCTGTCCTGGGATTCCTGTCCAATCAAATAGCACATAGAAAGACATTGGTGCTTTATAAGGAAGCATTAAAAGTGTCCAGGAAGATGTTTAAACTCTTTACACCCAATGACCCAGAGACTGCATGTCACTGATGATTGATATTTACTGTATTATGACTGAAATGGGCGTGTCACGGTGGCGCAGTGGGTAGCACGATCGCCTCACAGAAAGAAGGTCACTTGTTCGAGCCTCAGCTGGCTCAGTTGGCATTTCTGTGTGGAGTTTGCTTGTTCTCCCCGTGATGGTGTGGGTTTCCTCCGGGTGCTCCGGTTACCCCCACAGTCCAAAGACATGTGCTATAAGTAAATTGAATAAACTAAATTGGCTGTAGTGTATGTGTGTGAGAGTGTGTATGGGTGTTTCCCAGTGTTGGGTTGCAGCTGGAAGGGCATCCGCTGCGCAAAACATATGCTTGCTAAGTTGGCTGTGGTGATCCCTGTTTAATAAAAGGGACTAAGCCAAAAAGAAAATGAATGAACGAATATATGTATGCATCAGTTGTTTACAGAGTAATACTCACTATTCTTGAGTACTTTTCAAAGGGCTACTTTCTACTCATACTTAGCGTAACGATACAACAGATACTTTTACTTTGCTTGCGCTACGTTTTTGGGCAATTGGACCTTTACTTGCATATGATTTTTCAATACTCTTTCCACCACTGGTTATTGTGTTGCAGGATACACTCAACAAGATGCCGATGAAATATTCCACATGATCCTCAATCTCAGTCTGAAGCAGATGCCTGATCATGAGCTGGTGGGTTTGCTTTTAAAGACCACTTGAAATCGAAAAGTACTGTGTTCATTTTGCTAGCTCACACTTTTAAGGTGAATAATTAATCTCTGCAGGTTAATCCACTGAAAAAAAAATTGGTTGTTTTCATAATCTTCAATAAAAATCTGATCTTTTGCTTCTGCTTTTGAAGTGGCGGTCCTTCTGTTGACGTTGGATCACTTTACTAATCCTTTTTTTACTGCAAAATCAAAACTTTTGGACTGAATAATAAATTATAAAATGAACAGTACATTACACGTTTGAATTTAAACTATTATGTTTAAACAAACTTAATTATTGCTAACTTCAGACTTTAAATAAAGTCTTCAGATGATTCTAGTTTTAATTATGGCTGCATGGATTTTTCGGTTCATAAACGGTTGTTGAAGCATAAATAAAATAAAATGAAGCATAAATTTGTGGGTATTACATGTAAATCATGGTAATGTACAAAATGTGATTGTCCATGGTAATGTCATGTTTTTTCCACTCCTCCAGGCTCAGGAAATCCGCAGTCTTTATACGATTGAGGTGGAAACACAGGTGACATGTATGGATTGCACATTTATTCACAGATTGCCCAACTCATATTTCAGCCTTCCTCTGGTGATTCATGAAGGGGAAAACACCCTGGTAAACATCTAAAAGTGATGCATTCAAGTTACTTTACGTAATTTATGTACACTCTAATGTACATCTCACAATTTTCAGGAGAGCTGCATCAAATCTTTCTTCAAGAAACAAAAGCTGGAGGTCAGCGAGAAGTTTTTCTGTGACCGCTGTGAAAAGAAGCAACCATGTGCTTATGTACGTACTTTGTTTGCTTTATCATTAAGTTAGACGTGTAATCTAAAAAATGTAATCTTTAATTGTAGCATTTCTGACAATTTAACTTTTTTTATTTCCAATACAAATAGATTTTATTCAGATTTCTGCACGCAGTTTGATGCAGAATTTAATTGTTTTTATTTTATGCTGTATTTTATTATGCAGGAGCAGAAACTTGTCTCATTGCCTCAGATTCTGTGTGTCCACTTGAAAAGATTCAGAAATGAACATGGATTGATTAAGAAGCTCGACAGCAAAGTCACCTTCCCTGAAACACTGAAGATAAGCGTGTTTGCTGCAGGACAATCAGAAAATGTATTTCAGTATATATTTAATGCATAGCTTATAATCTTATATTATTTTAATGCAGCAGCAGGTTTAATTATCTTGTATGCTTGCTTTAGGCTGCATCTGATTCTCCTCAGGCTGATTACAGTCTGTTTGCAGTAATAGTTCATATAGGATCTGCAATGTTTGGTCATTATACCGCTTTCATCAGACAAACGCAGGACCAGATGTGGTATTATGCCAATGACAGCCGCGTGAATCAAGTAAGAGATCGAGACTATTGAGTCTTACATTCATTAAAAGGAGATCTAGTATGCTCCTTTTTACAAGATCTAAAATAGTTTCCCTATAGTGTGTATGTGACATTTCAGCTCAAAATACCCCACAAATAATGCTTTATAACTCTTTGATTTTGCCTCTTTTAGACTTTGATCATAACTGTACCATTTTGTTGACTGTGGCTTTAAATTCAAATGAGGTTGTGCTGTTTTCAAAAGAGGGCAGAGCTACAAATGCCTATGTGTCAGCATAGTGGCAGATTCAAAAACAAGACTAACGTCCTTTGCTAATGAAGGAGAGATCATCCCTAATGGGTGGGGCTTCCCCCCTCTGATGACACGTACAAAGGGAGATTGTCAATCAAAGTGTTTTTGCAGACTGTTTATATCAAGTGTGATGATAGAAAACAAAAATGAATACATTTTTACCTTTAGAAGCTGGATATATTCACAGACTGTTGCCACACAACTGTTTAATCCCCTTATAAATGAGATTTTTAATTAATAGGACCCATTTAATACACTGAATATTGCCATTTTGTGCGTTAATTATTTTATTCATTTGTTTTAGGCTACATGGAAGGATGTGCAGGACACATATAAAGGGTAATTCAGTTTTTCACATACACTGACGGGACACTTTATTAGGTACACCCTGCTAGTGCTGGGTTAGACTTTTGTATACTTTTAAAGAGACTTTGGTTGGACTCACTTTTGCCTTCTTGAATATTGTTGTGGCATAGATTTAAAGGCTAAGTTCATCTAAAAAAATGAAACTATTTCATTAATAATTCACTAATAATTCATTAATAATATGTCACACCCCAAGCCCCCGTTTTGCATCAGAACACTTATTAAGATTTTTTAGGTCAAATCTGAGAGCTTCCTCATCCTCCATAGGCAGCAAGGTTACAGAATTATTCAGTAATCAGAAAGGTATAGCAAAAAACAGACCATATGTGGTTCAATCGGAATATTATCAAGTTGTGAGAATACTTTTACACACATATTAAATGAAAATAATTACTTTATTCCACAGTTTCTAAACTAAACTTATCCCTTAACATTTTTTTTTATTTTCTTTGGAGGATCTTCCAGTTTTTGATGATAATATTTGTGTACTGTTTTAGAAGAGAAACAGCCTACTTGCTTCTGTACAGAAAGAAGAGTTTGGATTCATCTGGATAACTGATGGGAAGGCTGCAGCCCTTGATGTTTTCCGCAAGCACTATGGCTTAGTTAATGCAAAAAAGATTTCCGCCTTTCTATGAAATTTTGCCTTGTTTTCCTTTGCAATTATTTAAACATTCCAAAGACACATTTTTCATGAGATTCAACATGACAGTATGCCTTGATTTCTGAAAAAGAGTATCAGAATGTATTTAATTTATGCTTAAAACAAGACAAAAATCTATTAATGTTTTTAATTTTAAATGAAGCTTGAATTAATTTTATTTTTCTTACTTCACTGACAGAAATGTAATTGTCATTTTTAAAACGACTTTTATTCTGTGGTGCTAAAAAGAATATTCCAAAATAGGACCAACATGTATTTTTATGTGTATAAATCTACAAGTGTTTGAGATATAAATCAGTTCATGATACATATATTTTTTATGTTAAAATAGGTTAACATAGGACGGCATTTTGTATAAGATTACACTATTTTGTCAGTACATATAATGTGCAGTTTATTGATATTCTTAAATAAAAAGTATGTTTTAAAGTATAACACTGTTTGTCGTCTATTTCTGAAAAGTCTTATTATAAAAAATAAGAAATAAAAAATGTAAGCTTAAAGTAGTTAAGTAATGATAATTTCCCAGAACTGTGTTGTGGCTGGAAGGGCATCGGCTGCTTAAAAACATATACCAGAGTAGTTGGCGGTTCATTCCGCAGTGGTGACCGCTGATAAATAAGGGACTAAGCCGAAGGGCAATTAATGAATGAAATACAAGGTGACTTTTATTTTGAAAAAAAAACATCATGGCTTTTAGTTTTTAATCCGTTCGCGCTCTCGACTTTTATTTTGTAAATCTCCATAACATGGCGTTTTCCTCTCACGTCCTGTCAAGCTTGTCTGTTATGATCTTGTAGGTGAGTAAACATTGTCATAAATCATATTTCTCAAAGAAAACTTCACTATTTTAACATTACGTTAATACCATAGTAAGCCCACCTTTATCATATTGTTAACGTTTAAAGCTTGTTAATGCTATATAAAGACAAAGGTCAGTGTTTATTTTGTCTTAATTGTCACCTGCTATAACAGTAATCCCAAAATTAACCGTGGTTTTGGTATAGTAATTTTTAATGTTTACCGTAACCATAACCATTTGTGTAACCACGATTTTATTACAAATACCATGGCTAAACTTGGTTTTAACTTGTGGTTACAGTGCTTTAAATACATTACTAAGCCACATTTTTTGGTTTCTTTGTTTTAAGACAGTTTTGTTATGCTTTATTCTGTGTAACCTCATTAATGTTTGTTTTCAGGATCGAGATATTGAAGTTAAGATGACTAATCCACTGAGAGGAGAGGTTATCAGACTGTACAAAAATGTAAGTGTAATTTCATATTTTTAATGTTTTACAATTTAGTGCACTGATACTGTATGGTTTTTATTTCGTATGTAGCTTATTTATTTTAAATGTCAGCTAGCTTTCATTTCACATAGCACTGCATTACGTTCACAAATACAGAGGATGTGAAAATAATAATAATGACTCTTCATTGTTTTGGTCAATCATGTCTTTTCTGCAGCTTCTGTATCTTGGTCGGGAATATCCCAAAGGAACTGCATACTTTAGAGAGCGTCTGAAGACGGCTTTCATGAAGAACAAAGATGTCACAGACCCTGAGAAAATCCAAAAACTGATCGACCGCGGAGACTTTGTGATCAAAGAACTAGAGGCTCTCTATTATCTCAGGAAATACAGAGCCATGAAGAAACGCTATTATGAACCAGAGCATTAATCAACGATGAGTTCTCAGTCACATGTGCCAGATTAGAAGTATTTGAATGTTTGTGCTTGATGCGTTGCACTTACAAATTATTACTACTAGGACGTCCTAAAGAAGTCAAGTATTAATTGAAAAAAAAACTGTCAGATTTGCATATTTAAAGGGATAATTCACACAAAAACGAAATGTAATCATCTACAGGTGGTTCCAAACCTTTATGAGGTACATTTATTGAATTTAAATGTTAGAAATTATGTATATTAATACACTACAGATGTTCGGGGTATGAAACCTGAAAAAAAAAACAGTAAATAAATATGCAAATATGTAAATAAATCCATAAATTCCTGTATTAATAAAACAGTAAATAAATAAATATGCAAATAAATAAATAATTGCAAATAAAAATCCAGAAACTCCTGCATGAATAAATATAGAAATAATTAATAGTGCGGGCAGGTAAATAATTTAATAAATTACACATGTTGGAGGAATAAAAAATGCTAAACTGAGTTTATTTATCCCCCTCCCCCCTCTTTCTTTTAAATGTTTATTAATTCTTGAGCACAGCTGCATATTTACTTTTCCTCAGCTCAACATGCTAATGAGAGGCTGTCTGTCAATCATCAGAAGCCAGTCAAAAAAATCGAATGCTAAATTTTTCTAACGATCAACCGATGATGGCATAAATACTGCCTTCTACGGATTAACAGACACCCTCTCAACAGCATGTTGAACTAAGGTAAAGTAAATACGCAACAACGTTCATAAACAGTTCATTTAATACAAAGCATTTTCTTATTCCCCCAACATTCGTGTAATTAATTTAATTATTTATATAATTATTTATGCAAGAATTTGTGGATTTTTATAAACAATATTTATTTGCATATTTATTAATTATTTGATTTATGTGGAAATTTATCAATATAATTACTCATTTATATATTTGCATATTTATTTATTTATTGTTTTTGAAGGATTCATCCGCTATATGAAAGTCAGTTTCCAACAATATTCAAAATATTTTCCTTTATTCAACAAAATTAAAGCAGCAGTGGAGAGTGAGTAGATATTGACAGAATTTTCATTTTTGAGTGTGCTATCTCTTTAAATCAAACTTTCAGTTTTATCTTGATTTAACTCAACTCAACATCACCGAAATCACAGTTGTTTTCGCGCAATGATACCTCCAGCTCCCTTGTCAGGTCCAGCTTTCCTGCATTACCGGAAACCTTAAAGTGCAAAAAGGGTAAAAGTGAGAAGAACAGAGTGATTGTCCATCTGTATATATGCAATAATAAATGTGTGCTCACTTTTGCTTTGAGTATTTTGTAGGCTTTGTAGCAGGTGAGGTCCTCTTTTGATAGCGTGAGTCCGGGCTGCAGTTTCATCCGTTGGCCACCTTTGAGATACATTAAAAAGACATGCACTGAATTTAGAGTGTATCTGAAAAGTGTATCTTTCTTTTCTATGTATGGCCGATATATATTGCATCACCAAAACTGATTGAGGTCATGTCTATGTGTCAATATATTGATTATTGTGACAGGCCTATTGGCAACCTGATAATGTCGTACCTGATAATATGCTGACAATAAGACCCACTGCGATGGCTGTCACGGTTCCCAACAGGCCAAAGTAGAGGTATGAAAGCGAGTACCAATTATCAGCTAACAAAGGCCTGTTAATGAATCATTATGTTATGTATCATTCAATGCATTTTGACTCAGTTAATTTTCACAACCCACCTTTCTAGAGTTTCTTCTTCAATTCTGTAGATGTCCATGCTTGCAGTCCAGTTAGTGGTGTCTGGTGCCATAGAGAGGTTACAGCCGTGTGTGTTCAGAGTCAACGGTCTGCTGTTTTCTGCTGGCGGAGGGTAAATCTGTGCCCCGATACACACCCACAATGACAGTCCCAAACCAGACACAAGTCCTGCCAAACCTCCCTAAAACAGATACTTTTGAGGAAATAGTTCACCCTAAAATTCACATTTGCTAACTCTACATTAAAGATTTCTTTATTAGAACCAAAAATCGAACATTTCATCACTTGTTGGAACAGCTCGTCACAATAATCAAGTGCTGTTTATTAGTGAAAACTGAGTGCTGGATTTTGGTTTACTGTAACTGTTTATGTTAATTTTTCAACATAAAAATTTAACTGTTCTTTAATTTTTCACAATTATATTAGTATCCCTTTACAGGATTTAACCATGAAATTCACAGTAATATGTTGTATTCAGAATTTTATTGTGAAAACTGAATGATAGATTTTGGTACGTTGTAAAAAGAAAATTCACAGAATTTCACAATGTTACTGTGTGTTTTTCACAATACTAATTTTATTAGTGTCACTTTACAGGATTTAACTGTGCAATCCAAAGTAATATGATGCATGCAGAATTTTATTGTGAAAACTGAATGCAAATTTTTGGTTAACTGTATAAAATCCCCAAAATTTCACAACATGTTACTGTAATTTTTACAATAAATTACACTAGTATCACTTTAAAGGATTTAACAGTGAAATTCACAGTAATATGTGAGAATATTAAGAGTTTTATTGTAAAAAAAACTGAACGTAGGATTACGGTAAGTTGTGAGAAATGCCCCGAATTTCCCAGCATGTTGCTGTACTTTTTCAAAGATCAAAACATGAGCTCTCTGTGCAAATATTTAAAATACGGACCAATCACTCGTTTTTTTTTTTAAATGTCTAATTATCTAGTTTTATCCCATCCCTTTTTGCAGCACCGTACTACAAAATTTCGCATGCTCAAACTCTAGTGTGACTGCAGCATTATATGTTGTATTTAGTATTTTATTGTAAAATTAAAGCAGCCAGCATAAATAAAGCAAATTACTGTTAAATGGGGCTATATCTTTTGCATGTTAGTTAGAAATTAAACTATTTTATTAATTAATGCACATTAATTTTTATGCTAGTACCCGCTCCTTTTTTTGATATTTAGTAATATTTACAGCATGTTATTTGCAGAACCAAAAACAATTTAGTTACCAATTACCAACATCTTTAAAATAACCTGAAAAAGCAATTGTTTTTATGGATTATTATGGTTTGTTGTTTAGTGAATTGAGTAAACTAAATTGTCTGTAGTCTGTTTCCCAGTGATGGGTTGCAGCTGGAAGGGCAGCCGCTGTGTTAAACACATGCTGGATAAATTGGCAGTTTATTCCACTGTGGTGAGCCCTGATGAATAAACGGACTAAGCCGAAGGAAAATGAATGGATAGATTCATAGTATAGCAGCATCTCACTTTACAATATGTTAATTGTTGTGGATAATTAGCTCTTATTCTAAAATTACTCTTAATGAATAAGTATTTTGAGTCTGCGCTGTAATCCTGAAAAGGATAGTTCACCCAAAATTGAAAATTCTGTCATTATTTACTCTTTTGACTTGTTCGAAAAATAGTTTGACTTTCTCCTAAATACAAACGAAGATATACAGTTGAAGTCAGAATTATTTGCCCCCCTGAATTATTAGCGCCTCTGTTTAGTTTTTTCTCCAATTTCTGTTTAATGGAGGAAGGATTGTTTCAGCACATAAGCATAATAGTTTTTAAAAAATAATTTCTAATAACTGATTTATTTTATCTTTGCCATGATGACAGTTAATAATATTTTACCTGATATGTTTCAAGACACTTTTATACAGCTTAAAGTGACATTTAAAGGTTTAACTAGGTTAATTAGGTTAACTAGGCAGGCTAGAGTAATTAGGCGAGTTATTGTATAACGATGGTTTGTTCTGTAGACTATTAAAAAAATAGCTTAAGGGGGCTAATAATTTTGTCCCCAAAATAGTTTTTAAAAAATTAAAAACTGCTTTTTTTCTAGCCGAACTAAAACATAAAAGACTTTCTCCAGAAGAAAAAATTTTGTCAGACATACTGTGAAAATGTCCTTGCTCTGTTAAACATCATTTGGGAAATATTTAAAAATGAAAAAAAAAAAAAATCAAAAGGGGGCTAATAATTCTGACTTCAACTGTATTCAAAAAACCTGTAACCATTGACTGACACAGTATTTGTTTTTCCTACATGGAAGTAAATGGTTACAAATTTTCAGCTTTTTTCATACTAAATTCTTTTGTGTTCAGTAGAAAAAAGAAAACCACAAAAGTCTGAAACCTCCTGAGGGAGAGTAGATGATGAGGTTATTTAAATTTTTGGGTGAACTATCCCTTTCAGTAGAGTCTTTTTTTTAATATGTCGCCAAATGATTTGTGTGATTTATGTATTGTGTTTTTTCTTTTCATATTAAAATCTGGGCATGCAGTAACCTTTGAGTTGGCGCAAGGAAACAGGATTGCAAGAGAAAATAGGCCTAGCAGAGGTCCACCAATCACTCCTGAAATACTGAAAGCCGCCTGTTGAAAAAAATACATACAATTGTTTTGTATTCTTTTGCATTCATGGTGTCACAAAATTGAGCAATAACTCACCTGTAGCATTCCTCCCATCATAGATGCAATGCCAGCCATTCCGATGCACACAGCACCATAAAACAAACCTGTTATTGGGAAAAACTTTCTTTAGTTGTTAGTCATTGATTACTGATTAATAGACATGTATTTACTCACTCATGGCCTTTGAAGCCCAGGACAGCTGTTTTTCTGACAGACTGAGGTACGGCCGCAGCACATCTGTTACAGTTACTGCAGCCAAAGCGTTCACACTGGATGAGACTGTACTGTTGACAATAAACATGCTGTGATTTATGATCGAGTTAATATGAATGTGGTAAGGCACGTTTAAAACATCGAATGTCATTACTCGATTGAAGGGGCGTATCAGCTGATAGATATGGGCCAGTAGGGGCCTTCTGTGCATAATGGTAGGCTCAAAAGGCTGTTTTAATCCATGGTTAATCAGCTGTAGATCACATATGGCTGCAGTCGGAAGTTAACAAGAAATATTTATATCATTAAATAAGTTTCCTATTAATTGTATTTTATTAACGTCTACACCTATCAACTCCTAACCCAACCATCACAGTAATGTAAAAACAGATCTGGAGTCTTATATTAGTGTAGCTGATGAACCATGTTGGATGGATGATAACAGCCTTCTGAGTCTACCAATTGGCACAGAAGGCCCCTACAGGCCCAAATCTATCAGCAAATAGCCACTGATAACGCCCATTCAATCGAGTGATAACATTTGAATAGAAATTTTATCAAGAGTTTTAAAGCTTACTTATTTTTTTTGCATTTGAAAGATTACATTTTTTTTAAGTATAAAAATTATATTTTTACATTGTAAGATGCATTCTGGGGGATCAGGTTTGACTGCCTATGAGACAGCATCGTTTCTCCAAAGTAATGCAAATTATAAGTTCTAGGCACTGCTGTGTCTTGTCTGACAAACGGCCAGGTAATACTTTCAGGCTAGGCCCAGAAATGATGGACCTCCAGAGAAAGCTTTATGTGACTATTTTTAATTTCATAGGGTTTCTTTTACAGCGTCAATGTTGTAAAGTCATTCAAATACAATGAGTTAAATAGACTTATGCATCTATTTGGTTGTTAAAGCCTAAAAAGAGACGAAAGGGCTTTTAAACGCAGTTGCCGTCATTAGCAGCAGGCTAGCGCAGAAATTCCATTGAAAATACTGGGGTAAAATTAATTTTCCTATTTTAAAGACATGGCGCAGAACAATATAATTTAATGCAGCACTTCTTGTTTGGTCTGATACCCACTTTAAATCATATCTCAGCCAAGCAGTGAAGATTGCAGTTTTTTTTTAAAGAAATCAGATCTTCAACATGGTGATTTTGTATGGGATGACAATTAACTGGAAGCCCTGGGACTGGCTGACTGAAATTAAAAGTCTTTGTGCATATACCCCATTGTGTTTGCTGCAGTAGAGAGATTTGTTTATCAATGAATGACACAGCGATGTTGAGTTCCTTTTAAAGGATTCTGCTTTAAAGATACCTGAAAAATTCAGAAACACATTTAAACTCTGTGAATTGTTATTGAGTATGAAGAAACAAAGGTTAATGCATACAAATACATTAACAGTAATAACTACAAACTTATTTGTGACGTAAAAAAAACTGTATATTTAAATAGAAAACAGTCCATTTACGCTTTTTACTATACATTTTAATAACAGCAGCAACAAAAATAAGTATTTGGTGCAAGAATTCAGCCTCCGCTTAGCTAAAATGAGCTAACAAGGCACATTTTTCCACAATTGTCTTCTGATTTGTTTTAGAGTCTTGTCTTCCAGTGTAAATGTAAGATTTTTAATTAAAGACATTTTAGAGAAGTGTTGTTTAAGATATTTGTCTCAACATTGCATTTACCAAATTTGCAAGTTGGGTATGAGTTAAAAGCAAAAGTATAACTTTCCTAGTTAGTCTGATATTTAGTACTGATTAAATTGAGTTAAGCCTTTAAATTGCTCTTAAAGCTGAATGATAACATCTTGCAATATAACTTGTAAAATATTATGTACCGTCATCATGTCAAAGACTCAAAACGTTAGTTAATAAAAATGACTCTTTAAAAGTATTATTTATTTTAAAAATGTGTCAAAAAAAACTTCACTTGGGAAATATTAAAGAATTATTTTTTAAATTGCCTATAATACATATATATTATTTTAGATTTTATTACAATATCACATTGTGCAGTTTACATAAGAGACTTGAGTTTAAAACTGACACATGTATTTACACTGCAATCACATTTAAAAATAAATTACCATTGATACTTTACATTTAGCTAGTGTTTTATGCAGCATTTAATTTTACACAGAATTTTAAGCAGGTAAAAAGTCCTTAATCACAGTTGAAGAGTGTAGCAATGCAAAGATGGCATAGTTTTTTCACATAGCTGCTTGGACATTCTACTAAATCTTTGCAGATTATACAAAAAGACATGATGTTGACATGCATGCAAGTTAATATTTTATACTTATCTCTTATTACAGAACAAAGTGCCACTGTATGCCGCTGCCACAAACAACCCTGGCAGACCAGGGAATTCACTCAGGATGTCCAACACCAGGTATGGCATAAGCTTATTGAATATTATAAAGAGAGAAATATTAATGCAGCATATTCTAATATTAATCAGTAATATCAAAGAGAGCTTAAAGCATTAGCTCACCCAAAAATGAAACCCTTTACTCCCCTTTTAGTGGTTTCAAACCTTTATGAGTTGAACACAAAAGAAGATATTTAAAAAACAATCACTGGAAGTCAATGGTTACAGGTTTCCAGCATTCTTCAAAATATCTTCTTTTGTATTTAACAAGTTTGAAAACAAATAATGGGAGAGTAAATGATTACACAATTTGTGTGTGAAATATTCCTTTTGGAGATTATAAACACAGATTATAATGTAGTTGAATTACCTGGTCTTGAGCAGACACCTTTTTTGCCATCCACGGGTCACAGTTCTTATAAACGGAGTATAAACACAAGCCACAAAACACTGCGCAAAAAGTAACCACCCACAGAGTCACTAAATTAATGAATAAAGCCCTGAATAGAGACAAAAACACAGACAAATTGTATTTCAGTTTCATATTGCATGCCTGAATTTATGTTTTCGTTTGTGTGTGTGCAGCACTCACATTTTGGCGTGGATCAGGGACTTGCATGATATGTATCTCTGCACCTGAGCATGGTTGATGCCATAGAAGCTGGTCCAGTAAAACGTCCCGCCTACTGTGATGCTCCAGAAAGTGTGTCGCCTCAGAGGGTTTGGGTCGAAGCTGAAAGAGAGAGGTATGTTATTTTATACATGTGTTTAAAGAGATACTCAAGCCAAAAGGAAGTTTTGAAGACGGTTAAAAACCAAAACAGTTGCATTTTCCATTGAATTTCCTAGAGTTGGAAGGCAATAGGAAGCAAACACAACATTCTTCTAACTATCTTCTTTTCTGTTTCACTGATGAGGGAAGAAGATCATGCAAGAGATTAGTTAGTTTTTACATTTTTTAATAAAAAATAAATAAATTCCTACAACCTCTCACTTTATATTGAAAGTCTTCAAACAGTTTATATTTGCTTTTTTATTTATTATATTTTAAAATGTTATTATTTTTAAGTTCATGAGCAGTTGTCTAAGCATTTCACTGCATATCATACCTTGTATGACTCTGTATGTGACAAATAACATTAGAATTTTAAAGTTTTGTTGATCCTGGACCAACATCATCGTTTAATACAGTGTACATTTAGCATTGCTGATCCTGGACCATCATCAACATTTCAGTAGTTGTTCCTTTCACCATCATCAGCATCATCATCATTTCAGTAGTTGATCCTGGACGATCATCATCATCATTTTAGTAATGTTGATCCTGGACCATCATCATCATTTCAGTTGTTGATCCTGGACCATCATCATCATCATTTTTGTATTGTTGATCCTGGACCATCATCATCATCATCATCATAATTTCAGTAGTTGATCCTGGACCATCATCATCATCATTTCAGTAGTTGATCCTGGACCATCATCATCATCATCATCATCATCATCATAATTTCAGTAGTTGATCCTGGACCATCAGCATTATCATCATTTTAGTCATGTTGATCTTGGACCATCATCATCATTTTAGCATTGTTGATCCTGGACCATCATCAACATTTCAGTTGTTGATCCTGGACCATCATCATCATAATTTCAGTAGTTGATCCTGGACCATCATCATAATTTCAGTCGTTGATCCTGGACCATCATCATCATTTCAATTGTTGATCCTGGACCATCATCATCATTTCAGTTGTTGATCCTGGACCATCATCATCATCATTTTAGTCATGTTGATCCTGGACCATCATCATCATTTTAGTCATGTTGATCCTGGAACATCATCATCATTTCAGTAGTTGATCCTGGATCATCATCATCATCATTTCAGTTGTTGATCCTGGACCATTATCATCATTTCAGAATTGTTGATCCTGGACCATCATCATCAATTCAGTAGTTGATCCTGGTCCATCATCATAATTTCAGTAGTTGATCCTGGACCATCATCATCATTTCAGTAGTTGATCCTGGACCATTATCATTATTTCAGTAATGTTGATCCTGGACCATCATTATTATTATTATTTACTACAGTGTAAATTCACTAATGTTGTCTAATGTAAATATAAGTTATCAACATTACTGAATTAAATGAGGATGACGTTGATCTTGGATCATCATAGACTGTGGCTGTAAGTCATTTAATAACTTACTCCCATAGGTTGATCCTGCCCCCGTGGGCGGAGTCACTGATGATCCTTGGGATCCCGCCCTGCAGCAGCACTGATTGAACGATCACAGCCAATAGACCCGCTAACATGATGCCAACCTGAAACACATCCGTCCACACCACTGCCTTCAGGCCACCCTGACAGGGTAAAGGCAATTAATAATATACACATTAATTTAGTTATACATTCATTCTATAATTATTTATTTAATAAATGTTTGGTTATTAAAAAATAATTATTAGTAATAATACTGTTATTAATAATAACAAATAAAATAATACTAACAACAACAAGAACAACAAAAATAATATTAAATATGATTATTATTATGATGATGATTATTATTATTATTATTATTGTTATCATTAATGTTGTTGTTGTTGTTATTATTACTAATAATAATATTATTGTTATTAGTAATATTATTTTTATTGTTATTGTTATTATTATTATTACTTTTATTATTGTTGTTTGATTAGTGGTGCTAGTAGAAATATGTTTTAGCAGCAAAGATTTTGGATAACACTTGCAAAGTGCAATTGAACTTTAAATGAAAAAAATAATTATATAATTACAGATTTATCTACGTATTTATTAAGAAATGTTTTATTAAGAAATGTAACACTAACAATGATAATAAAATACTTAATATGTAAAATGAAAAATATAAACAATTTTAAAATAAAAGATTCTAAAAAGTATATATAAATATATAAAAATATTCAAATAAATGTATAAACATTCAAAATTTCAATAAAAACAATATAAGCCATGAAAACAATAGTTCACACTATAAATTATGTTTTCTGTTTGTTTAAACTACTTATTTAAAAATATATTTTTTTTTATTTTTGGGAGGGACAACTTAATTGTTTTATGTCCTATTCATTTAAGTTAGTAAAAATAACAATCCCTTCATGTTATCCCAACACAAATAGATAATGAGGAACCCAGCATCATTTACAATGTTTATCAGAGTCACTAAAATAACTTTTATCTTACTAGTGTGCAGTAGAGAGTACAGACCACTCCAGTGGATATAACAGCCCCCCAGAGATCTACACCTGTGACTGAGGAGAGCAGTAGAGTCACTTCAGACACACTTGTTACTCTACACACTTCATTAATAATGCAGTAAAACACTCTTTACATTGTACACAACATTAGTTTTTCAGTGGCATCTGAGCTTAAAGCCTTGGTGACGCTCAGTTGCTCAGAAAGGATCTTTAGATCTTTAAATTATATTATTCACATTTAAATATAGTTTGCTTTAAGGTTTTTAGGGAGATCTTTTTTCCTCGGGCGTTGATGCAAAAACACAAATGCATGTATGCATTTAAATGATATATAATCTATTCATAAAATGTATTTAAGTTTTCAGTGTTTTGTGGGATAAACTGTTTAGTGTATTCTGACCTGAAAGGCTATTTTGGCTTACTTTAACTTCAAATTATGCGTCAAATTTGACTTTACTTTTAGGCTATATGTAGATACAGACACCTATTTTATGAGAAAACAGTCTAACAGTGTTTATCAGTGCTCTAAATCTGCCTGTTTCAGACTGTTGAATGACTTATTCCTTGCATAGACTGATTGGCACGATTATGCATTCACAGTGGTATGATCCATTATAGGGGTGGTCAAATGCATATCTTTTATTTTAATTATTAACATTATTATTTAAAATACAGATCAGAGTGATATTTTTCTCAGTTTCAAAGGGCTGACCCCCACATACATCTTGTTTTGAAGTTCTTCAGGGGGCATCAAACTTTAATTATGGGGTAAATCCCTGCCAGCCCCCCTTGTAATTTGCACCTTGACTGTAATGTAATAACATGCACCTTTTGTAAAGCTGCATTGGAGCAAAAACTATGGAAAGCACCATCAAAATAGGCTTGATTTGAATGTAATATTGATTTGATTGAAATCAATATTGCCTTTGATTACCTTGATTTAGAGCCAAAGCCGGAGCATAAATGACCAGACCAGTATATAATACCTGAAAAGAGATGGAAAATGATGTTATATTCGTGGTATGATTTATTAAAACTGATAATAGTAGCAAAAACACTCACTGTCTGAATGATAAACAGGATTGTCCCCAGTAGTCGAATATGTTTATTGTAACGCATCTCCAGATACTATAATATACAATAAAACATGATTCATCATTCATTTTCTTTCGGCTTAGTCTCTATTTTAGAGGTTGCCACAGTGGAATGAACAGCCAAATATCAAAACATTGTGAATCTAAATTAACATATTACTTATCATAACATGTAATGCCATGGGTGACCAGGCATTATTATAGTTAAATAAAATTTAATTTATAAATCTGAAACCGCTAAAACAAATAATAATAATAATAATAATAATAATAATAATAATAATAAAATTTTGTTTTATAAAATATGATTTACTTGTATAACTAAATAAAATTTTATGCAAAATGTTAAACTATGTAAACAAAAACAACAAACAAAAATTAATTACACTAAAACTATAAATACTAAAACTATAGCTTACATTAAAATAAAAATTTATCATTTAAAAATAAAAATATATTTGATAACTATTAACAAAACAATTACAGAAAACAAAATACAAAACAGCAAACAAAAATGACAAAAATAACAAAAATACTAAAACTACAAATGTATAATGTTAAATAAATGTGTATTTGAACTACTAAGAAGAAAACAGAAAAAAAAGCAAACAAAAATGTCAAATATAAAAATACAAAGGTATTTGACCTATCTAGAAAAAATAAAACAAACAAAAAGCAGCCAACAAAAATAAAACACACGAAAGCTGTAACTAAAATGAAAATAAGAAGTATAGTGTAAAAATAAAAATGTATTTGAAAGGGCCTAAGAACAAAAACAATGTACTTGCTCCCACCAATAATAAAAAATACTGTGGTAATATCTGCTGGATTTAGTGTTATTTTAGATTGAAGTCAAGTTGGTTTTATATTCTCACATTAGAGGCTGCTCTTTAACGATCTATGCGCAAAGTCTAAAGCTTTTGCTATTTTAAGGACGGAAAAATACGCTCTGTGCCCCAGTGCATGGTCTAACAGGGTTGTGCTTTTTCTCTTAATGAGTTCTGGGTGTGTTTTGAGCATAACCTGCATTAAACCAATCAGAGTCTCATCTCTCATTCCCTTTAAGAGTCAGTTGCATCGTGGCATGGCGCATTTGCTATTTAAGTGGCAGATTTTGTAAGTGGAAAAACGGAATGCTTCACTGGCAAGAAAACAGTTAAACAGACCAACTGCAGCGTGAGGATAAAGAATAAGACTCCTCCATTTGGCCTCTTTACTTTCTTTTTTTACTCTTTACTTTACTCCTTTACTTTCGTGGATAAGGAAACAGTGTTGTACGCACTCCACAGAAGACATCCATCAGCCTACATATTTAATTTAGTTTAAGCACAAAGATTTGTTTTAAAAATATTTCTTAATTTAGTTCTAATGTCCAGCAAATGAATAAATAAACAATAATAACCAAGTGCGGTCAAATAACTGAGTTATATCCAAACACGCGTCTTATTCTTATGCCCCATATAGTGATGCAGACGTCCCTAAAACCCGACAGATGGACAAATCTAAACAATTTTAATTAAAGCAAATATAATTCTGCATATAATAAATATTTTCATGATAATAATAATATTATTAATATTATACAAATGAAATTGTCATGAATAAACTGAAAAGACCTTTGAGATGAGGCATGGAGGCAGTGTTTTTATATTTATGTAGAAAATAATAATTTTTGTAAAATTTTAATCCTTCAATTTTTTTATATGTAAAGATATTTGTGTATTGCTGTTCATCCTGTGTGTATTAAGTGTTTAGACCTGCACAGGCGCATAACTTACACACTCTGTGCTAAATGTTATCCAGCTGTTAGTTGGTCAATAGTGCGGTCTAGTTTAGTTCCTCAAAATAGCAACGTGCCAACAATGCGCCTTAACACACCTCCTTTTTAGAGCAGCACACCCATGAGTCCACAAAGTGGTGCAAATGGATTTGATATTTAAACAACATGATGCCAAACTAAGTTTGCGCTGGTCTGAAAACAGCAACACAGATGCCACAAGATGTCACAGAACCAATGTGCAAATATAAAACCAATTTTACCTCAATTTATTGTAGTATTACTGTCTTAGGCTTGCAGTTTTGTATTTTGTTTTCTTAATAGTTCAAATGCAAGTTACTTTTATGCCAAATACTTTAATCAAAGTAGATTTTTCTGTCACCTCATAAGTGCTTGTTACTCCCAGTCTGTAGAAGACGGGCAGGAAGATCTCAGAGCTCAAAGCTACCATAAAAGCATAAGCGAAGCAGATGAGGATGAAGATGGCTCCGTACTTGTACACCTCCACCGGCGTCCCCAGAACGGTGATGGCAGACATAAAGCTGGCGGTCAGAGATAAAGCCACCGGCGGGGCTGACAAACTCCGTCCGGCCACCAGAAAATCAGCCGAGCTGCTCTGAGATCTCGCAGCAAACGCATAATAAACCCCGATTCCTGTTGAAACTGCAAGCATCATGATGAAAACCACATAATCCCACACGCTGAAGACTGCGCTGCTCATCCTCATCTCAATTTCTGCGACAGGAAACACCCTGCAGGTGAAGAGGGAAAAAATAATCAATAATTATCAGCATATACTATAAACAAAGATCTGTTAATGAACAGTTCTTGTATTTTGTGATTCACAAGTGCACTGAAAAAAAGGATACATTGCATTTACTAAATTTTTAATAAAAGGTAAGTGGTTGCAAACAATTTATATGGGCTGAATATAAACAAATGAAGTTGAATGTCAGTAAATTTAAATTGTTTGTTTTAATTTCAGCCCATATAAAATGCAACCTCTTACCTCAAAAAAATGTGATAATCCAATTTATTATTTATTTCAGTGTGTTTTACGTATTTTTACGGTTGTGATTTGCATTTTGGGACCTTGATCTCTGCTTTTGATGTCAAATTTAACTCTGCAGTTTAACAAAGTGACTTTTATTGACATTTTAGACGTTTAAAATAATATAATTTATAAGAACTAATTTTCCCAGAGATGGTTTGCGGCTGGAAGGGCCTCCGCTGCGTGAAAACGTGCTCGATAAGTTGTCGGTTCATGCCGTTGTGGCGTTGAGGGACTAAGCCAAAAAAAAATGAATGAATGAATTAGAAATAATATATAGAGCAGGGGCGCCCAAACCTTTTCTAATGAAGGGCCACAATCCAAGCTTAATTGAGAGCTGTGGGCCGAAGGTAAGTAAAGCAAGCTGTATTACATTAAAGTTGCCATGGGTAATTTTCTAATTTATTTCATAATGATTACAAATTAAAAGAAAAGATTACTTCAGCCATATTATCTACTGCATTCTAGTTTTTCAAAAATGTATATTTTAATTAACTTTATTTGCACGCTGCCTTCTGCTCTGTCCCCTATTCATTAAGTGACAGCATGTACATAAAAAAATCTGTTTCAATTACAACATTTAATTGAAACTGTTAAAAATTTCATTTTTGTTTGTTTTTTGTAGCTCAACAATAAAACAAGCAGACAAAAGGTTACACTAAAATAGAAATGAGAATCTCTGTTAAAGGCATTCCACAACCCTTCCCAATCATTTTCCCTCTGTTGGGCCTTAGTTTGGGCATCTCTGATATAGAGAAATAAGTGTGTAAAATAACAGAAAATGTGCTGGCGGTTTATTACAAGGCTTTTGTACTGTAATATACAACACCAACCCAGCCAATACAGCACTGTAAACTATTAAACATGTTATTGCAAGTCACTTATTTGAACTTTTCAAAGTTAAAAGTTGTTGAAAGTGTTACGACGCAATAAGGGCGCAATAAGTCGCAAGACGTGTTTGGAGCATTTTTTTGCTATTTTTAGACCAGTGCAACCCTAATTTTCATGTTTTGCGTCACATGGTTTAAATAGTATTGCACCACTGTAGACTCGTGGGTGTGCCGATCTATAAAGGAGGTGTGTTAAGGTGCATTGTTGGCGTGTTGCTATTTTGAGGAACTGAAATAGACTTCACCTCGTCCAGCACAAGAGTGCATTAGTTATGCGCCTGTGCAGGTTTATACACTTAATACACACAGGATGTACAGCAATACACAAATATCTGTTGAAAAAAAGGATTAAAATGTTACAAACGTTATTATTTATTACTTAAATATGAAAACCACCGCCTCCATGCCTTCTTCATGTCCATGGCGGCTTTTATCAATTTATTCATGGCACTTTGGATTTGACATTAATAATAATGTCATTATTATTAGCAGTATTATTTATCATATGCATATTTATATTTGTTTTATTAAAAACGAGTTTAGATTTGTCCACCTGTCGAGTTTTGAAGACGTTTGCATCACTGCATGGGGCATAAGAACAGGACGTGTATTTGGATATAACTCATAACTCAAATTTTTTACCAAACTTCATTATTATTGTTCACTTATTCATTTGCTGGAAATTAGAACTTAATTTAGAAATAGTTTTAAAACAAATCTTTGCACTTATCAAACAAAATTAAATATGTAGGCTGATGGATGTCTTCAATAGAGTGCGTACAACATCGTTATCTTATCCACAAAAGTAAAGCAGTAAAGAGTAAAAGAGAAAGTAAGGAGGCCGAATGGAAGAGGCTCGTTCTTTACCCCCGTGCTGCAGATAGTCTGTTTAACTGTTTTCTCACTTTAGTGAAGCATTGAGTTTTTTTCATTAAGTTTTTCCACTTACAAAGTCCGCCATGTAAATAACAAATGCACCATGGCACGACGCAATTGACTCTTAAAAGGAATGAGTGATAAGACTCTGACTGTTTTAATGCACGTTATGCTAAAAACACACCCAGAACTCATTAAGAGAATAAACACAACCCTGTTAAACACAGAGCGTATTTTTCCATCCTTAAAATAGCAAAAGTGTATTCGGACACACCCTTAATGCATTTGCGCCCTGCACTTTAGACTATGTGGTGCGCCTAGATCATTAAAATAGAGCTCTAGGGGTTTTGTTCGATGGTGTAACAAAAAAAGATACACATTTTTGGTAAATATTGAATTACAACTAAAAAAAGATAAACGTGGAGAACACACTCAGCCCCAGAGTGAAGAGTCAGCTTAATGTTTAGGAAAAAATAAACATTTAGAGTTTATTTAATCGTAATACAGTAACTTTAACAGAAATTAAATGTCAAACTGAGTGACTATAGCCTATAACAACAAACACAAAGCAGCTAACTGGGTTTTAGAGGAATAGCTTACCTAAAGCAAACTAAATCAAAGATGAAAATGAACAAAAACGTCCTCTCTCAATCATAAATAGGTGAAAACAAAAGAAAAATAAGGCACTCACCATTTAGACACACTTGGAAGCAAATCTCAAATTAAATAAACACGAAGTAATAAACACCACAGAGGTAACAGAATGAAAGTACAATATTGTTAATTATCCACCAAGAGTTAAATCTGACACAGTTTACACAACTGGCATTAAGAATTATTCCACAAACACAAGTCAACTATATCACAAACCAACTGTCACACTTAAGAGCTGGGGAGACGTGTTCCTCAGATCAGTAGCTTCAGAAGGCAGTATAGCACGAAAGTAGTTGCACCAAAACAGCATGGGGCCTTTGAATCATCCTAATGTCCCCCTCCACCCCCATCGGTGCCCCTGGCTGTTGGAAACACTGTTTTCTGTTGTTATGTTCTGATTGCAGTTGTTCACATGTTAAAATAAATATTAGTATTTTAAAATTAAGTATTTAATGTGTCAGACACAAAATAGACACGTTAATTCATTTTTTAAATTAAATAATAATTTAATATTGTTCTACCCCATGCACACAGCTGCTGTAAAGGCTTTATTGATAACTATGTGTGGGCGCAGTGATAGTCATCACGTGCATGCGTTATAATATTATAAATATGCCGGTCAAACTTAATACAATCTTACATTAACAACACATGGCAAGCAATGCGCTGATAAGAACAAATAAATCATATTAGTTTACAAACAACCAAACAAGTTGTTTATCTTGTCTGCATGTTTATACATGTAGGCTAATATTTTTCCTAAGGCAATTTAAACTAAAATACACAATGACACTTTCTCAAACATATCTACAACCATAAGGAATATGGTAACTTACTGAGATATTAGCGCACAGCAGGTAAAGCCACACAAAGCAAGGACGGACTTTAAAGGAATAAGCAATGTGAGGAATGCTCCACAATGCAACCAAACTGGAAACTTTATGCCTTTGCATCGGACAAGTCTTGAACAAATTCGACCCATACATGCTGGAGGTAGGCAGTAGACAATTATGTATAGATATACAGTTATGAATACTATAAAATAATACACTCACCGGCCACTTTATTAGGTAAACCTGTCCAACTTTGAAGCAGATGGGCTACAGCAGCAGAAGACCACACCTTGTGCCACTCCTTTCAGCTAAGAACAGGAAACTGAGGCTACAATTCGCACAGGCTCACCAAAATTGGACATTATCCAGGATAACATCCTAATATTCCGAGGGGCTTTTTTCTGACTTTTTTCTCATAATTCTGACTTCAACTGTGTGTGTGTGTGTGTGTGTGTGTGTGTGTGTGTGTGTGTATATATATAGATTATGAGTAAACTAACAGGTGACTAAAACAGAGTCTCACCTTTAATGACTGCCTCTGTTGTTTATGAGCATCAGGAATGTCTCATTGAAGGTTGGATCCTGGTTTAGAGATTGAGATGCTTGCTCTGGTGTCTGCTTGCAGTGTGTTCAGTCACAGAAACTCTTCCAGCTTATGAATTTTAATTATTTTTCTGGATCTGCATGATTGTCTTCATCCGTCCCCCACGTTCAATCCTCCACTCACTGGAGTCAGTCTGGAGTGTGTTGTTTTCTGTAGCTATGTAGATAATGGGAATATCTGAGATTTAGATTGGCAATTCATTCACTATTTATAACAAAGGAAAGTGTGTTTAACCACCCAGTGTTACCAGTGTTAATGTCTTTAACCACCCAGCGTTGCTAAATGTGTGTATATTTTTAAGTTGAAGTGATAAAACTACTTTACTAAGAGTGGTATATTGATAACATTCAGAATAAGTATATAAAATGTTATTTAAAATGGTCAGCTGTTTAGTAAAAGTAGCCTGATGATTGATATTATTAGAAAATTAGGAAAATAAAATATATTCAAGTTCCAATTTTTTAAATAGTAAATAAAAATAAATAAATTATTTATTTATAATTTCTTTAGATTTTTTTATTTTACTTTTAGTTAAAGATTTTGTAGATTTGTGTTTTTTATTTAAAATATATATATTTTTTTTTACATTTTTACATTGATTCCCTTCTAATCGTAGTAACAAGACTTTTATTTTGAAAAAATATCTAAACTCAACCGTGTACCCATAATGCGTCATTCAACATGGCGGCTCCCTGATGCGGCATGTGTATCAACAATTCCACAGCCTCTGATAACAAATATATGGTTATTAAAACAGTGTTTACATAATTTCAGTATTTGTTATCTTGATAATACAACAAAATGAAGCTCAAAGCTAAACCTGCATCGCACAAATCGGAAAACACTTTTCGCGTAAGTTTACAAAGCAACGCATGCTGGAGACTGCAGCTTCAACATATGATAATACATGTTTATTAAACGAACTGTCTTAAATATATATATATATATATATATATATATATATATTGTTTCTTGCACGTTTTAAATGTTTAGTCTATTACATTGTACACAGTTAACAATGCTAACTGTTGTCCACTCATTAACTTAATACCTTTATTCTTTGTTTAATGTCTTATTGTACAGTTCGTCACCTTTTCTGAAAGGCTCGCAAAAGTAAACATCGATGTCATTCATCGCATTGACAGGACTGGGAGTTATGCTGAGGTATGGACTTCACTTATCTTAAAGTTTGGTTTAGTATGTAATAACTGCAAAAATTTAATTATGCTGCTTAATTTCGCAGGAGGTGGAAACTTATTTTTATGAAGCCCTGATAAAATGGAAAGACCTGAATCTGTCAGAACACTTCAGTAAGTATTGCTGCGTTATTTTGCATTATGCTAATCACGAACTATTCAAGTTACATGTAATAAAATAACTGAATGCTGAAATTTAAGCTATAAGTATTTTCTTTAGGTGAAATGAACTGAAATGCGTACATTTATGTTATCGCTTAGCTTTATTCTAAAAGAACTGAAATAAAGTACTATGATTATGTTAAGATATGTAGACATTTAACAAGAAAAGTCAGAATGCAAATAGTCTAACGCAAAAATTAATCACATTCAAAATAAACGGTAGTTTTGACATTATATGTTTAAGTGTGTTATATATACAGTTAAAGTTAGAATTATTAGCCCCCATGTTACTTTTTTCTCAATTTAACCTAATTAATCTAGTTAAGCCTTTAAATGTCACTTTAAGCTGTATAGAAGTATCTTGAAAAATATCTAGTCAAATATTATGTACTGTCATCATGGCAAAGCTAAGATACTGTAAATCAGTTATTAGAGATGATTTATTAAAACTATTATGTTTAGAAATGTGTTGGAAAAATCCAACACATTATCCATTATAATCTATTAAACATTAAAAATGGGGAAAAAATAAAAGGTTCAGGGGATAATAATTCTGACTTCAACTGTATAGAATATAAAAATTCAATTTTGTTAATGCACATTTCAATTTATATATAATTTACATTGTAGACATGTATTTTATATGTAAATATATATAAGCCTTTTTAAAATATATGTATGTGTTTATATAGACTTAATAAACATATACAATACACACTTAAAATGTCAAAACAAACTTTTATTTTAAATGCAACTAATTTACTATTAATCTTTGCTCAGCACAAAAAAATACAACATGATATAATGTAATATAACATAATAAAACATAATATATTATACAGTAGCCCATTTAGAGTAATTAAAGTGAATTGATTTCAATATTAACACAATGGTCTGTTCAACAGAGAAGTTTTTTCGAGAAGTGATCGGCATAACACAGTCTTTCAACATGCTGGTGTTTCACCAAAACACTGTTGTGGAGAGTCTGAAGGTCCACCTGTCAGTCAAGAACAGCAACGCCCACCAGCCTCTTCTGGAGTAAGTTTTCAATCCGTTTTTTTACTGTAAACCAGCCTATAAATATGGAGGACCATGAGTGGAAAAAAACACATATAAAACTATATATATATATATATATATATATATATATATTACTGTTTGATTAATCTGCATTTTAAAACATTAATTAAATAAATAAATATAAAATTAGCTTTTTAATGTATCATTTATTTATACATTTAACAGTTATTTTTAAATGCATTGATTTATTGCTTTATTAAATGACATTTAAATATATCTATTTATTTGTTCATTTATTTGTTCATTTAAATTGTGATTTATTTATATACATTTTTTATTCTTTAATTATTTAATTGATCATTTGAATTTTCGTTTTATTTTCTAAATGCCACTCTTGGTTCTCCATGTGCAGTTAAAATCAAAATTATTCGCCTTCCTGAGAATTTCTTTCTTTTTTTTCCAAATATTTCCCAAATGATGATTAACATAGCAAGAAACTTTTCACAATATTTCCTATAATATTTTTTCTTCTGGAGAAAGCCTTATTTGTTTTATTTCAGCTAGAGTAAAAGCAGTTTTAATTTTTTTTTTTAAGGTCAATATTATTAGCCCCCTTAAGCAATTTTTTTCAGTTGTCTACAGAACAAACCATCGTTATACAATGACTTGCCTAATTACCCTAACTTTTAACTAATTTATCTAGTTAAGCCTTTAAATGTCACTTTATTCTGAATACTAGTGTCTTGAAAAATGTCTTGTCAAGTATGATCAATTGTCATCATGGCAAAGATAAAATAAATCAGTTATTAAAAATGCGTTGTTTAAAATATTATGTTTAGAAATGTGTTGAAAAAAAATCTTGTTTTTCGTTAACCAGCAATTGAAGAAAAATTTACAGGACGACTAATAATTTCTGACTTCAACTGTATAAAGCCATGCTAACTTCACTCTTGCTCTCAGTCTTGTGGTTCAACTGGCTCGCGACCTCCAGATGGACTTTTATCCCCATTTCCCGGACTTCTTCGTCATCATCACGTCTATACTGGACACACCGAACACGGAGGTGCTGGAATGGGTTTTCACATGTCTGTCGTACCTGTATAAATACCTGTGGAGGATGATGGTGAAGGACATGGACAAGATATACAGGTGAGAACAGTGATAACCACTGAGTCACCAAAGACAAAACTCTACGATTGCAATGATTTAAATAAACGTTATAAAAGTATGTTCACAATCTCTTTCGAAGTTTGTAGGATTATTGATCACTCCTGTATGTTTTTACATCAGTCTTTACAGTGGACTTCTGGCACACAAGAAGGAACACATCCGCAACTTTGCTGCAGAGAGCTTCTCTTTTTTAATGAGAAAGGTCAGTCTTTAACATCTCAGTTTATTTTCAGCACATCCTCTGTTCTCAGCTAAATGCATTTGTTTTTTTTTGTACCACAGGTGTCCGATTATGAAGCGCTCTTCACTCTTATGTTCTCCAACCTGTCAGAGCATCCTCAGAAGGCCAGAGGAGCGGGTCAGCTGATCTTTGAGATGTTTCGAGGAGTTCGTAACATGTTTCACTCCTGTGCCACAATGGTGAGATCACAGAAAAACAAAAAAAAAACATGCAGACACATTCACCCTGTCAGGGAGTACGCTTACATGGACACCAGTACTCTGCTTTGAATAATCTGACAGCTTTTCTCTTTTTATTGAAGACTGTTCCATTTATTCCTTTAACAAATAGCATCTAATATATTGTGGAGAATGCATCTGTATGTAAATTGACTTGTAAATTGATGGCAAAGTTTAAAAATGCACATGGAAAGTGCTTAGATTTGACTTGAAAAGGTGTAATAGCGCTCAAAATATCTTCTTTTGAATTTTCACTTGTGGATGAGCTGTATTTTTAATGTCTGTACTGTGGTTTCTCAGGCTCTTCCAGTGGTGTTGAGGAAACTTGGCCCAGCAGTCGAGCAGGATGTTGATTTACCCTGGGACTCCATTAAAGAAGCTCTGGACCACATGGTTGAGTCGTCAGCTAACTATGTTGATAAGGAGAACTTGCTGGTCCTGTGGGACTCTTTGCAGGTGAGAGAATTGTTCACAGCATTTCCTATGATACTTTTTCTTCTGGAGAAAGTATTTGTTTTATTTCAGCTAGATTAAAAGCAGTTTACATTTTTAAAACCATTATAAGGTCAATATTATTAGCCCCCCTAAGCTATATGTTTTTCGAAAGTCTACAGAACAAACCATCATTATCCCTTTCGAGGCAGGCGTTGCAGATTTGCAACAGTTA